AGCAACAAAAATGATTAAACGTCTAGAAAACCTGACCTATGATGGAACAACATTTTATGATTTTTATATTTTATGATGGAAGACTGAAAAAATTGGGTTTGTTTAGTCTGGAAAAGAGAAGACGGAGAGGGGACATTAAAACAGTTTTCAAGTACATAAAATGTTGTTACAAGGAGGAGGGAGAAGAATTGTTCTTAACCTCTGAGGATAAGACAAAAGCAAGAGCCTTAAATTGCAGCAAGGGAGGTTTAGGTTGGAGATTAGGAAAAACTTCCTAACTGTCAGGGTGGTTAAGCACTGGAATAAATTGCCTAGGGAGGCTGTGGAATCTCCATCATTGAGGATTTTAAGAGCAGGTTAGACAAACACCTGTCAGGGATGATCTAGATAATACTTAGTCCTGCCATGAGTGCAGGGGACTGGACTAGATGGCCTCTCGAGGTCCTTTCCAGTTCTATGATTCTATGTGTACTTAGATCTCTTCCAAAGCCCACTGAAGCCAATGGGACTATTTGCATTAACTTCGCTGGGCTTTGGGTCAAGCTCTTTTGTTTCATTTTTCTTTTAAAGGGAGGAATCTGTTAACTGTCACTGCAATTCAATGCAGCTGCTCCACTATAAAGCCTGCCCAGGTTCAGAGGTATATTTTAGAATCACAAGTAAGAGCTTATATTGGAGGTGTATGTTTTATATCTTAATTTAATATCTATCAGTGTGTTAGCTGTCATTTAATTTTTGAAACGACAATGAATCACCAAAATATGGGACAAATTGGGCATAATATATCTACATAATGAAAGATTGTGATTAAGCTGAGCAATTTTGTTAGTGTGAGGAACTCAGAGAGCACAGCTTGAGAGTTTTAACAATAGTGCTGATACCATAAAGTAGAGTGTCCTATTATGGATCCTATCCCCCTAACAGTTCTGCTATTCCCTTCTCCGTTTTCTTGCGTAATTCAAATGAGCTATATAACTTGGTTCCATGTGAAATTATGTAGAATTGCTACTCGGTCATTTTGGAAGCTCTGCATACTTTGTGCAACATTAAAGTTGCTACAGAATCAAGAAGTCAGAGGTGTAAAAGACTTGTTACATCAACCAGTCAAGCCCCTACTAATGCAGGATTGTTGCCTATCGTATATTTGCTAGCACTTTCTCCAGATTAAAGACTCAAGCAATGAGGTTTCTACAGCTTCTATTGAGATTGTTGTACAGTCTCATAGATCTCACCATTGCAGAATTTTCTCTGCTATTCAGGCTAAATTTCCCTTTTCGTTTGAGATGAAGGAATTGAGTCAATTGCAAAGGTTACATTTTCTTCTCTCAGTGTAGACTACAAAAATTAAGTTAAAAAATTACATGCATTTACTCTGGGATCCATCTATTCCTAAATTTAAAATAATAAAACTATGGAAGATGGGAACACAGTTGCATTTAGTACCATGTAATAATTTCGGGTGGGGGGGGGGACAAGGAATTTGCCATATCTGCCATATACTTTCTTCTCTTAGCTACCCTCTGGTTGGGTGGTTTGTTATTATTTATATTGCAGTAGCAACTATAGACCCCAAATAAGGTCAGGGCCCTATTATGCTAATACCTGGACAAAAACATACAGTGAAATCATGGTCCTATTTAAGTCAATGACTTCAGTGGATCCAGGATTTCACCCATAGCAAGACACAATTCCTGCTCTAAACTGCCTATGGTCTAAACTGACAAGACAAACAAAGGGTGGGAGAAAGGAAGTATTATCCCACCTGTAAAATGACATGTAGAGAGATGGTTACTTGCTCCACATCACACAGGAAGTCTGTGGTAAATATAGTAATCTTCAGATCTCCTGAGTATCAATCTAGTGCCTTAGCTACAAACTCATGCGTCCTTTGGTCTTGGTGGAACTAACTGGCTTTGTCACAATGGCTTTATAACCGTGTCTCATAAAAATGGAATTATGACATTCCTTTTCAACAACTTGGGACTCAACCAAAA